CACTACTACACAGGGGACGAGCTCTGCCTTCGCACACTACACATTTACTACACAGGGGACGAGCTCTGCCCTCGCACACTACACATTTACTACACAGGGGACGAGCTCTGACCTCATACACTACACACTACTACACAGGGGACGAGCTCTGCCTTCGCACACTACACATTTACTACACAGGAGACGAGATCTGCTCTCGCACACTACACATTTACTACACAGGGGACGAGCTCTGACCTCATACACTACACATTACTACACAGGAGACGACCTCTGCCCTCGCACACTACACATTTACTACACAGGAGACGAGCTCTGCCCTCGCACACTACACATTTACTACACAGGGGTCGAGCTCTGACCTCATACACTACACACTACTACACAGGAGACGAGCTCTGCCCTCATACACCACATGCTACTACACAGGGAACGAGCTCTGACCTTGTACACTACACATTACTACATGGGGACGAGCTCTGCTCGTACACCTTTGTACACCCAGGGAGACTTTGGGGTGCTGCTGGTGAAGTGGTATCATTCAAGATTCCCATTTTTTGCAAACCAGGTTCAATTCCCAGGCGGCGCATGTGTTTGCAGGCAGTGGTGGCTCAGTGATTAAGGCTCTGGGTTACTGACTACAAGGTTGGGGGTTCAAGCCAAGCTGCCACTGTTGGGCCCTTGAGCAAGGCCCCTCTCTGCTCCAGGGGTGTATCACTGCTGACCCTGGGATATGTGAAGAAAAGAATTTCCGTGTGCTGTAATGTATATATGACAAATAAAGGCTTCTCCTTCTACACTGCACAGGGGACAAGCTCTGCCCTCATACACTACTACACAGGGGACAAGCTCTGCCCTTGGGCCTAGGGGACTACACCCTACTACAAGTGTATATTAATACACTAATGCATAAGCATTTAGAGAAGGATTCTCCAATGTCAGTGTGTTGTAACAGTCACAAGTAAACCTGTAACATTCCTTTAATATTTTCCAACATGGAAAAATCTTCAGGAAAGAGGATGTCATGGTTTGTAACATTCTGAGTTTTTAAAGTGAGGGATTGACTGTTTATATGTGTTATAACATAAGTGATAATAGGATCTAACTTGTTTCGTGGACGTTCCACAACATTAAATGGATAAAAAGTATGATGTGTTGATCTTTAATTAAAAAAATGTAATTGCTACCAAACTGCTGTGGTATACAAGGAATAAAATGCTTTGGAAAATGATCAGCTTCAGGGTGGTAACAGTAACTGTGCTTTGTGTTAGGCCCCATCACACCACCCCATTATTGATTAGTATCCTATAACTGCACAGCCCGTAGTGTTTTATCCCATACTTATATAATTACTAGTTATTTATTTTAATATTAATGTTGCATAACACTATATTAAACATCATTTTATTGTACTGCATTGCTCCAGGGCTCTACACCTAGGAATTTCATACACCTTTTTACACTTTGGATTTCTGTACAAACAATGTTG